TATTTTGTTATATGTTATATATATATAATAGATGAAATTTTAATTCGAAACATTTTAATTAGTTCCCCATTAGGGTTCCAAAAAAAAACAAATCCAGAACTCAGTATATTAAAAGAAATAATTTTTATTCTCACTGTTTTTTTTTTTGTTGTAGATGTTTTTTGTCAATAGACTTTTGGCTCACATAGTAATTGGTCTTATATTTGGTTACTTGTACATTGACGTGGGCACAGGGGCAAACACCGTCTTAGCCAACTACGTCTATTTATATGGCTCGCTGTTACTTATTGTTTATACAGGAAAAATGTCCGTTACGTTATCTTGTAAGTCCCAAAAAAAATTTTTTTTTTATATAGATATTACACTTATACAGAATGTTTCACCCCAATATTATTAAACAGTGGCGTAAGTGCGTTTAATTTTTACCAGTTTTTGACGCAGTTAGTTACGCCACTGGTAAGAAGTCCGTAATTTTCAAAAATTAAAGTTGATTTTACGACTTTTACATCCTATAACCGAAACACAAATATCTCTGAAAATAATTTTATGTATATTATATGCGGCCAACAGGGCCGGGCCTTAGCCATCGGGAGGCTCCGGGCGGATAAATTTTTGCGAGGCCCTTGTTCTTGTGGAATGAGTTTTAATGATGATACTTGAAGAGAAATGCAGTTATTTGTAAATAAGTTTAGAGTTTTAAAATTCTTTACTTATCGGAAATTAAAAAAAAATTAATAAACACAAAGATAGCAGATTTGTGGATTTTTTAAGAGTATCAAAAAATTCAAATAAACATTAGTAGTAAGTACGATTACTACCTAATATTTTTTTAATTAGACTGTTGCGCGAGTGCGCGAGGCCCCGGGTAGTTGCCCTGCTCGCCAGCCCCAAAGGCCGCCCCCGGCGGTAAAAACTTTTTATTTTTACCTCTTATCTAAGTCTTTTTTTAGTTCCATTAGAAATGAAAGTGCTAACGCGGGAACATTTTAATAGATGGTACAACTTGCCACCTTATTTATTATCAGTTCTCTTAATCGAAGTGCCGTTTCAGGTAAATACAGCCTTATACATATGTACATTATGACTACTATCAGTTTCTCACATTTGCATTATGTACTTCAGATTTGTTGCACTTGGAGTTACATTGGAATAAGTTATTGGCTTACATCACAACCATTTGGTTTCCGATTTTATCTGTTTGTTCTTTTATGTACCTTATCAACCCTTTGTGCACAAGCTTGGGGTTACTTTATAGGAGCTACGACACCTACAAAGGTATTTTTGTTTATATTTTTTTAATTTTCCAGTTTTTTCAAAGAAATAAGAAAAGTATTCTCAATAAGCAATCGTAATTTTCAACTTTCAAATTTTCGGTGGATTAATTTAATGTTTTCACATTCCAAATTTTCTGTTAATCTGCGGTATTTATAATTTTTTTTATTTTTGGATTACATTTACATTTTTCGGAGACTGGCAATTACTAATTCAATTGTTCAAAAAAAATCTAAAGGCTCTTTTAAGCTTTCCAATACTTACACAATAATTAATTAATTAAATTTAATTTTTAGATTGCAGTGTTCTTAGGTCCTGTAGTAGCGTGTCTGTTTTCTATTTTCGGATTTTGTATAAGATACAGAGACACCCCCGTC